AGCTGGAGGGACAACTGGATAATGTACATGCTACAAGATGACATAGCTGGAGGGACAACTGGACAATGTACATAATACAAGATGACACAGCTGGAGGGACAACTGGATAATGTACATGATACAAGATGACATGGCTGGAGGGACAACTGGACAATGTACATGATACAAGATGACACAGCTGGAGGGACAACTGGACAATGTACATGATACAAGATGACATGGCTGGAGGGACAACTGGACAATGTACATAATACAAGATGACACAGCTGGAGGGACAACTGGATAATGTACATGATACAAGATGACATGGCTGGAGGGACAACTGGACAATGTACATGATACATGATGACACAGCTGGAGGGACAACTGGATGATGTACATGATACAAGATGACATAGCTGGAGGGACAATTGGATATTAATGTACATGATACAAGATGACATGGCTGGAGGGACAACTGGACAATGTACATGATACATGATGACATAGCTGGAGGGACAACTGGATGATGTACATGATACAAGATGACATGGCTGGAGGGACAACTGGATGATGATTCAATATTAGACAAGATACTTACACTGTACTGTCAACAGACTGTTCACATGATATCAGCATACTACTGTCATCCATACTGTCATGTTCATTATCGCTGTCATTTTCATCTTCCTCTGCAATAACCTAAAATGTGCATACACAACGTTAAGCCATTATTCTTCACAAGAAGAACTAATTTTTATGTATTTTTCTATAATAATTTACATAATAATAATTTTTCTATAATAATTTACATGAGATGGACAAAACAGAAAAATTCAAGACAATCATCAACGCATCAAATAAACATTTACTGAAAACACTAATCCAATAAATTGATAATGCAAACTTGAAATGAAGCATTTATTAATTTCTTTGTTTTTTGATACTTTTATTATAATTAATTTGTGTTCATATTTATTAATTTAACTTTATTACTCAGAGCCCAAAAAGATTGTAGTTTCTTTATGATGATAATAAAGTGTTATTGTATTGTTTTGTAATATAGACCAAATGGCCATAATAGTCACTTTTTTTTCACTTTCTAATTTGTTTAAAATTATTAACTTAATTAAATTAATTTCTCAAAATGAGTTATAAATATTGAGGTCAGAGTACATGTAGAAAATCCAAACTAAATATAGAATCAACCATGTTGCCATGGTTACTCACCCATTTGTACTCTTCATCTTCATCTTCTACATCTTCTGGTTCTTGTTTTATTTTAATAGCAGAGGTTGAGGGGGCACTGTCATCGAGTTCTTCATCAGTCTCTGCAAGAAAGAACACTCCAATCAGTTTTGCAAAGTTTTATCATACAGTTGGCAACAAATTTTCACAAATTTCTTGAGACTGTGGAATTGATGTCATTAATCTGTGGTCCACGAGATGAGTTGCAGCATCTTTTGTGAAATATTGTCTTTATCAATGTCCTTAAATCCTAAAGAACCTAAGATTCCTAAAGGCAAAAATTAAACAGTTTAAACAGTTCTGTTACCATAGAAACCAATGAGTAAAAATCAAAACTGAGATAAGTGGAATTTTCTTGAGAAATTCCAGACTATGTTTTCTCTGACATTCCATACGTTGTATTAACAGGGAATGCTAAGCAAATTTAAACATTTAAACTTAAAGCGGGGATGTCGTCACCTGCGCATGCGTCAGATGGCCATAGCGTATCATTGTTTTAAAAAAAAGCATTTACCCATGAGCCTTTGCGTTTTTAGCATGTGTTGTTCTAGTCGCTTGGGACTCAATTCCCGTGCATGCTCAGGTGACGATCTTCATGCTTTAAATTCGGCATATTCAAAACATAAAACTGCTGATAGGTTTCTACTTTTTAAGATTTATGATTTAATCTGTTATGACATTTGCATATGATTTTGAAACATGTAATTTTCTTAGTAAAGCTGAAGTACTGAAGTGCTGTATGCATTATTAGAGTAAGTTATCACCTTAATAGAAGGTTGCACTGACATGCATAGTTATCTTTACAATTACACTGTATTAGTATCAATAGATGTTGGTGGTTGTCATGCAGAGCATGTTGGAATATCATGGAAACAAAAGTATTTTACAAGACTTGGTTATGTTGTATGACACAGCTAGAAACTTTAGTGATTTTTGGATTTTATGGCTATGCTGAAGACAAAGTTTCCCAAAATTCACCAACACTCTGTGTCATAAGACACCATAGAAATTGTCCATGCTACAAATTTTCGATATTTCATTTCACTCATGGAAACAGTACGTCATCAATCTATTTTCTATTCTAGTTTGAAGCTTGCTATAATACATATTTTTTCATCACCTGTCTACATGCCTTTTCACAGTCCAGTATTCCTCATTTAACACAGCTAAAAAAACTGTCGATTGACAGTAAAATTTCACCAAACCTGCTGACTCTGTCAGAAAAAAAGTTTTGATTTCCAACTATCCATATTACATTTCAATATTTATAAACAGAAGATTTATAATTCCTGGCTGTAACCATGACAACTGCCAATCAATTTAGTGTTGCCGTCAACTATTTGAATTATATTTTTACACACAGAATGTAAAAAGACAGTTTGTTACTACTGATATTAGTGGAAGAACACAAAGACACTATTAGTGACGAAATAATTGAAAAGGTATGGTTTTAAGAAAATATATTAATCCTTTGAGCACCAAAGTTGACTTCTGTCAGCTTTCAAAAAATAAAACCATATTTTTTGTTCAAAAACTTCAATTAAGACCTGTAGCCAATTGATTGAAAATGAAGTCCATTTGTTACAAAATTATCAAAACAAATTTCGGAAAATGCATAAATATAGGCAAAATTTGGATGGGAGAAATTCTGGTGCTCAAAAAGTTAACACACTCCTTGTATACAGGATCCATTGACACCCAACAGAGCAATGTAGACACATGGATGTGAAATTATTGCTTCCATGGAAAGAAACATCACCCATAATGCAATGAGGCAAACACTAGAACTTATGAATAATTACTTTATTTTATAATATATTGAATACACTTGAATGATATCTAGTTTGGAAGATAAAATGAAATGTCAGAAGGAAGGTCAGCTTCACCCCGACCCGACCCAGCTAGATCTGACCCAGAAACATCACTTATCTAAACCATAAAATTTAGGAAATCCATTGTCTTCAATCGATAATTTACCTGAATAAACTGGACTTTGACAATTTGTATCATACTTGTCGTCCTGACCAGTTGACGACATATCAGGGATCGCAGCGGTCTCAGAGGACTGGTCATTGGCTGGTACATCTTCACTGGCCTGGAAAGGTGAACAAAAAATAATTGAAACTATCCCAGAAATTTGCAATAAATGCTAGCCGATTCATGTAACATTTTAAGAATATATGAAAGGCTTAATCTATAATGATGACTTGTAGTGAAATATTTAAACTTTCGAATAATTACCGGGTATCTAATAATATTATCAAAAACAACATTTTTAGTTCCTAGGAGATTACTGACTAGCACAAAGAAAGAACGGCGATCAAATTGACCGACATATAGCAGAGGTTGATGAGATCCCATATATGGTATTCTCATGATACCGGTAACCTCATTATTAAAACCTCTCAACAAACAAGCTGCTTTCTGATTGGTCTGAATTTTAGGTGTTAGGGTTGGGTAGCCAATCAGGCACAATCTTGCATTGATTCCATTCTATTCACTCAACAGTACAAACCAGGAGCAGAGACCTCCCTGCTTTCACTAAAAAACACTAGAAAAGAGTTGAACTTGAAGTAAATTTTTTTTTGATTCACATATTATTTTTGATGAGAAATTAATGTTTAATATGATATTTTAATACAAGGTCAAAAATTTCTTATATAACAGGATAGACGTTGCATACCTCTGAAATGATTTGATAATCAAAAAATGTCCATGAAAATAAAATATGGGATAGCCATGACCCCAGAGAAATTTTCAGAGTGCCGAAAATAATGCGTTTTTTCCTGGATTCCATGAAGTAGAACGGCGAATAACATGCTCACCGAGATCAGTGAAATAAGGCATTTACCTGGTTGTCAAGTTGTATACCAGCAAGATTGAACATTTCTCGAATGTAGCCACGTAGTCTATTGATCCCGACGGTCCTCATGGAAAAACGGATATTTCCAGTGGGACCATTGGGCAGAGGTCGGCGGTAGAATTCACCACTCCGCTGTATCAACTCAATGTATCTTTTCATTAGCTTTACAACACATCTTGAACTGTCTGGGACAGCGTACACTTTCCCACCACGGTGTGTTCTTTTTCGTCTCCTCGTAGATATTTTCCCGACGTTGATCTTCAGAAACTCGCCATCAGCATCTACGTCAAACTGAAACTGGCTGACTTGCAAATCCAAATGATCCTGAGCGGCCACGTAATCAAACAACTTACACAGATAAAAATAAACAGCAAAACTATAGGACTGTGCAGTTTCCAGAGCAAACACTTTCTCCCAAAGTTTATTCTCGTGCTTCTCTGTAAAGTTTGAAAGCTTGAACTGAGGTAAACTGTTGATAGGTGGAATTTCTCTTGTGGATAGCTCTTGCCATCGCTCTTCATAGGCCCGCCGGAAATTTTTAAACATCGGATTGTAGCCATCCATAAAATTCATATCGCTTCGAAGGCACTCATCTCGTAGATATCGACAAATGGAAAAACATATACACCTCAACGTGTCTGCCGGGTACTCACTGCGATCACGCCGATGAACTTCTTTGACAAATTTACAGCTCCAGAGATTGAATTCCTCTGGAGTTAGTCGAGACGTTAACTCGGGTGCCTGAAGGTGAGGGTTGCTCTTATTGTGCTCCCTGCGCCATTCATTCCATACCCGCATGCCGTATAGTGTTGAACGCTTTGTATTGCCACGTCTCTTTTCAAAGTCACCAGTAGGTGCGACAACCTGAGGGACTTGCGAGTTACTAAAGACCTGAACATTTGGTGGAGCCATTTGATTGGTTAATTGGAACACCATATTACTATCAATTAGTGGAAAACTCGTTATTGATGTTGGCTCATTCACAGTCCCTGGCTGTGAAGCTACTAATCGTGGCCTCTCATTGTCAGTCATTAATCGTGAAGTCTTCCCATCTGTGGTTAGATTCAAAGCTTCACCATCACTTGTGAGTTGCGGAACCTCACCTCCAGTCACGTTTTGTGGTACCTCGCCATCAGACTGTTGATCAGATTCTGCTAGACACAAAAAAATAAAAGATACATGCTATGTTTCCTAGGTAACCTCAAATTACTTACAATCAATTTTGTTATTTTAATGACAACAGCCAATATACAGTCAGATGATGAAAACTGTATGTTTTTGACTTATTCATAAGTCATTGAACATAAAGTCAAACACAAAACCGCTCAAGTTTGAAATTTAAAATGGGAATCATCTTTGATCAAATTTCAAAACAAAATATGTAGGCCATTATTTCATTCTGTGAAATGAATCAGTTTTAAGATTGAACTACCGGTATAATATAATTACAAAATGTTCATTTATCAAAATAAAGTCAAATACACCATTCGTATGTTTCTGGTGCGCAGCGTAGTATTTCGATAGTTGCTCAAGTTTGTTCATGTTCCACATGGTCACTGGCTTGTCGTAAGTGCATATACCAACTACACCAAGCGACAGTAACTATCACGCTATTTTAAATCACACATTTGCCAGCTAAGTTGTGCTGGTCTGGCAAATATTTGGAGAACTATTTTAGTTAATATCACATGCCTGCTTTGACTACAAACAGGAAAGAATAAAATGCCAAATTTGATGATATCATGTGATACTGAAATCAACAAATGGTCCAGGGACAAAATGGTGGATTTGATGAAGTACTCATTAATCAGACAAAATTATCAGTGGATGAAGTACTCAGACAAAAATACCACCGAAACCTGCAAATGGTCTATGGGATGAATTAAATGGCGGAGTGGATGAAGTACTCAGTCAAAAATATCACTGAAACCTGAAAATGGTCTATGGGATGAATTAAATGGTGGAGTGGATGAAGTACTCAGTCAAAAATATCACTGAAACCTGCAAATGATCTATGGGATAAATTAAATGGCGGAGTTGATGAAGTACTCAGACAAAAATATTACTGAAACCTGCAAATGATCTATGGGATGAATTAAATGGCTGAATGGATGAAGTACTCAGTCAAAAATATCACTGAAACCTGCAAATGGTAAATTAATTTTATTGGTGTAAACTGTATGATGATTTGACAGCATTCGTAAAGACACTGTTACTTGTGGAATCCTAATAAATGTTCACTATTACAAAATGTCATCATGAAGATTCATTGAGTGTATGGTCTCAAGGACAAAATCCCTCTAAACACTTCATATAAAATGCAGTGTGCACCGAAGTACTTCAAAACCCTGGCCATATTCACAGTTAATATCATGCAACAAGTTTGGAATTAAAGCAATATCGCCCTCTAGAGAAAGGTGCAAGAAATTCCCTTGTTTTTATGTGTCTGTAAGTGAAGTTCCCCAAACTTATTACAGTAACATGAAAATCTCTCTTTTTTACATGACAACATAAAGGTACAGTAAGGCCCACAAAAATATATGCAAGCTTTTGGTCATCAAGCCTGACTTCGCCTTCATTGTTTTTTTTTGTCAGCATTTTAGAAAAAAAAAAAAAAAAAATTTTCTTGAGAAATTAAATAAAAGCATTACCGGTACTTTAGTGGCAATTTGAAAATAAAAAAGCAGTGCGTGCATCAATTTTTAAAGTCAAATTACCAATGAATAATTTTCTTGTTTGGGCTGATTGGCTTCAAAACATACAACTTAATTTAAATTCATTGAAAACTGCTACATTTTGCAGCTGTGAACATCTTATCAAAATTCTCATAGTTTAGACTTAATGTCCTGAAAATTATCACGAAATTTGAACAGTGACAACAATTTTGATATTAAATGTTACATCTAATGACGCCAGTACAAGTAGTTACTAATATTCCTGGAAAGACAAAAGATTTATTCTTGATATTTAAAAATGCATGTTCAGTCTGAGATTACAATGTTCTTTTCCAAATTACCCCCCCCCCCTCCTCCTTCTCCTCCTCCATACCCAGACCTTCTTTCTGCCCCTAAAAAGTTATTGTTAATGAGCAGCTTCTCACTGACAAATATACACAAAAAATGTTACATAATACAAACCACACAAGCAGAAATACTAAACCACATGCAAAGAGCAAGTAGTGAAGATAAAAGACATCTGGATATAATTGTCACATTACTGAGGTGTTCAGTTTACCCTTTCAATGTCAAAGTCAACTTTTTGTTTACCACTCACAAAATAAAAATCTCACAATAGTTTGTTATATCTTTTCCAAAATTTTAATCAAGTCATTCGGCAAATTAGTTTAAAATTAACCAAAAAATGAAACTACATAAAAATAGGCAGAACATTGCACCAAAATTGAGGTGCCCAAATGTGTTAAGCCCTAAAATAATTGAGCAGCATTCAGAAAAAGAAACCATGGCAGATACATTTGTTTGTTCTTAAAATACCAAACACTTTTACATGTATATGTATTTCAATTATTAACATTGCACAACATTGCCATAATTTTTTTCGGCAAATATCAAATTTGATGATATTTATTTTCACCCCTGCAGAAATAGTGATGCAGTCCACAGAAGGCATGACAATAGTGCAGACACCAGTAAAACACAGCAGGATACAGTCAGTTGTAGCTCACTGTTATCACAAACTAGTCAATTACTCAAAGAAACCAGATACCTTCACAGGAATGACCATTTTATTGATGGTTTTGGGGGGATCCCGGTCACAAAACTTAGGAGGGGGAAAGATAAGCCAAGACGAAATGAACAAATATATTGCTTCAACATGGTGAAGAAGAACAACAACATTCATGATTACTTAAATGCGGCGCAGTTATGGTAATATGTAAATTAGACTGTGCGCAAAACGTATTTTTGAAGATACTGATCATAAGTACGTTCCCTGTATTTCCACTGATAATGGTATCTTCTGCACTGTACACAGTGTAGAACTATCAGAAAACCTCTGATAAAATTGGTATGTTGTTTAGAAGATAGAAACACTGCTGGAAGGAGAATGGAAGGAGAATGGAAGGTGAAATTTATGAACCACTGTCGTCAAAAACTTGAAAACTATCAACTTTGAAAGCGAAAGGTATGGCAGATTGCCGACGGCATTCCACAGAATCGTGCCTACGTGTTTGAAACATCACCGCTGGGGCCAGGCAAAGGTTGGCTGCATTATCCAGATTCAAACCACATGCCAGCAAACCATTCCCTCGATTACACCTTGCTGGGCTCCAGCATTGTTAATTGCAATGTCAAAATAAACACGAAAACATCACCACATCGGTGAAAACTATTTTTTTTACGTACATGTTTATCATAAACACAAGCAAAAGACTTGGAGGAGTCTTTCTTATGTAACTGGTTTCTCAGCCTGTTAAGGTGTTTTTCACCCTTGATCTTTGCCTCTGCTTATCAAGGGGGCAATGTACAGACCATTTGTGTTGTGTGTAATCATTCAATGAAGGGAAACCAGGGAGAACACGCAAGCACGCATGTACAACATATTAGATGATATGATGAGTGAAAAACAATGAAAAACAGCAACAGAAACAAACACAGCTTTTGTATAAAATATCTAGGGTGTGTGAAGGTATGTAATGACGTACATAGTCACTTGTGATATAGATAACTGCCCATTAACTTCACAACATACAACCTTTGCTGCAAGGAGAGCACTTATTCAGATCATTGCTATGTATGTCATACACACTTAAGGGTTTAACCTGCATACTGAAGGGGGGGGGGTCAAAACAAAAAGATTTGTTGTCACTATGTATGTCATACAGTTAAGGATTTGAACCAAATTTAGGAGACAAAAAAACTTTGAAAGATCACGACAGTGCATTTCAAACAGTTAAAAAAAAAAGGGACAAACCAGCATTTTGAAGGGGGGTCAAAAAATTTAATATTTTTTTTTGTCAACACACGAAATGCACCTGTTTTGTAACTTGTTTGGCCAATCCTCTCAAAATATTTCGATCAAAATCTGTGAATGTTTTTTTTGAAAAATATGTTGACTAATAATTTACAAGCAAGATTAATTGAACAAATCTGAAAGTTATTGCATTCGCAAGGTATACTTATCAAACCAGGCCATATTTCTCAACTAACTTAATCTACGGAAACATGATTTTTGGCAACTGAAAGAAACCACAATATACTGTTGCTTTTATTATATTACGATTATGACTTCCCATGTCAAAGACTTCAAACAAAATGTTGCCAACACAAAAACAGAAAGTAATCACCTCAAATAAGTAAACGCATGGTAATAAGTCACATGGTGTTTTTTATCAATAATATCATAGATGGGGAAATCAATAATAGATTTAAAAAAATCATTTTTCATCTGTCTTGGTGATGTTTGCATGTGTATACTGTAGAATACTTTATTTTCGCATAGAATTAATTTTTGCTATTTTTGCTGAAGGAGTGATTCAGTGAAAATAAAATCCAGCAAATATACCGGTTTTCCTATATTTTACATTCAAAAATCAGTGAAAATAAACTCCATACAAAACACCCAAAAGTCTTTTCAGCAAAAATTAATGCCAGCTAAAATAAAGTATTTTACTGTAGCATAAAACTTCCTAAAATGTTACCTTGTACATGTATTTTGGTGCAAAAACTGTAATTTTGGCTCATTATTACATGAAAAGTACAACAACAACAAAATATCATGCCTTTTACTTTAGTAATTTACATCAAGACAAGAAACATCTCTTCTAAGACACAGGTATGCTGGATCCCCTACTGTCTAAATGGTTACTCCCAAACTGAGCACCAGAGATATCTCCCATACCAGCTAGTTCTCGTTGTCTGATATAATAACTGTGGCTCCATTTAAAAGTACAGTCATGTGTTTTCACTCAGGTATTCTAATCTTGTACAGCCCACTAATACCAAGACTACCCTGAGTGAACAAAAGAACTCTATTACAATTTGAAAGCTATTACAGAGATTAGCTGGCACTAAATTTAAAAGACTAACTTTGATAAGTTTAGAACACACACACACATTCACTCAAACACTGCACATCAAAAATAGGGTTGACTCGTAAAATTAGAAGGGGGGGGGGGTTAGTACAGTAAATTTTT